CAGCACTCCTAAAAATACTGAATGCTGCTAAATATATGGAAGGTTGGTTAGAAACATGCTAGAATTATTGCAGCTTTGCATCTCATTTGGGTCCAACCCTCGCTGATTCTTTTCTGAGAGAACATCTGAAAGAAACATTTTTGTCCTTAGACTAAGACAAAGAAGCAGCTGGCGTGAAGAACATTCCGCAGAATCCTCGTTCTACAAGAGGAAAGAAATGCTTATAGAAATGTTTAAACCTTTATATGTATTGATATGTAGAAAATTCACAAATTCAGGTTTCATAAAAAAGATTTTGTTTCTATTTACCTCCTTACCTAACATCACTTTAACAACTTAACATCATCTGCTTTATTTCTGCGGTTCTCAAAATAGGGGGTGAGACCCCTAGTTGGCATGGAAATAATAAGGCAGCAGGGCAAATACAGTTTTATATCTCAGAATAGCAGTGTTTGATCTTCAGTTAGTGGAGTTTTGAAGCAGTAGCTCTGGAGGTATGGATGTGGAGGATGGCCTCGGCAACAGTCCTTTCTGGATCAGAGGCTGCAGAAAACGTTTGTGAACCAGAGCTTTTCTTCAGAGTGGGCGACTAAATGAAACACTAGAAAAACTAAACCCTAACGCCAACTGAACAGGGTTCTGTGCCAGTTCCACTTTCATTAAAAGCCTGAACTACCGACCACCATCACTCTCTGCACCACTGATTCAAAAATAAAGGCATCCCGTTGATCCTTTTAAGGCAGGACAGAAAAAAACGGACTGTGATAAAAGCCCATCAACACCCCAGGCTCCCGTTTTCCCTCAAACCTGCCACAGCCGCAACATTAACAGGGTGTTAACATGAAATGATGCACCGTAAACAACTCTCTCTGAAGGTGATCCTCCCTCAGCCTCTGACTTTTTGATTCATCCCAGAAGCTTTTATCTGTCCGACAGTGACATTTTTACATGCTGTGCTGTCAGTCAGGGAGTGCACACCGTGGTTCAATGGTGGAGTTTGGTGCTGAGGTCTTTCAAACACCAGCTTACCTTGCTGTTACTTGCATGATGTTGTATCAGTATGACATCACCTTATCCTATAATTACTGTTATCAGTTAACCCCCTCACACAGTCATAAAATCCACCGTCTGTGGAAGTTGAGTAACTCGCTGCTCCTTTGAAGCTTGCAGCCTGTGTTTGCTGAGCTTCTTATCTGTCAAGCAGGAACTGTTTAACGCTGTCACCGGTGATGAAGAGAGATCGGTGGGATTTTAGAGCCAATGGTAAAGAGGGGGCCTTAAAAATGACCGGGGAAGGGCCACAGTCACGTTCCAGCAGATGACGGACGCCCTAGATGTGCTCTTAAGTATTACAACCAGTGGCCTGTAAACAACAGGCAATGCACTGTCAGAACCAAACATGAGAGAGGGGAGGTGGGGGGGGGGTTCTAACACAGTCCATTTGTCTCTGCCTTAGTCCCATAAGCAATTTTGCCTTTTTTCCAGCATCACATGAAGATTATGCAATATCACATGGAAAGCCTGGCGTCAGTGAAAAGGTCAGTGATGCCTCAACCTTCAACACTTGAAACAGAGCAGTGGGGGGCTTGAGGGGCAAGTAGGTATTGCAAAGGGAAATGAATGAAATCAGATGTTTTTCTTTATTAGCCCCACAGGAGGAACTGATTTGTAACTGTTTATCTCTGAGGGAATATCAGTTTAGTAAGAGTTATAGTGACCTACGTGTATATAAAGTGCGACGATGTTTGTAAGAAGAAGCTGACCTACAGTAAGCAATAACTGTATATTTGTTCAACAGCAGCATTAAATAAAAGTCAATGTGTGTGTGCTTTTGTTTTACAAATTAAAAAGCAGGACTGTGGCAGCAGTAAACCTCCTGAAATCCAGCTCTGCTGGGTTTATGAGACTCCCCCACAGGGTGAGACAGCCAGAACTTCCCCTCGCTTCTAAGCACAACCACAACAGGCAGAGCCCCGTCCACTGCAGCCATCCCTGAAACATAAAAACATCTCCTGTCACTGCACATTTTCATTTCCTTCTCTTCACCTGAAGTGTGAACGTCAAACCTTCGACAGGTCTGACCATGCTGTCTAATCACTGGAAAATCAGAGACACAGATGAAGCAGCAACACGTTGACCCTGCTCACACTCCACTTCCTGGCTGTGATACAAGTCAAAAGAAAACAGCCCAGGGCCAGTGATGGGTGGAATCCATTGATGACTATCTGACATATTTCTGTTTGAAGGTCACATCGGCATTAACGACAGAAATGCAACTTGGTGACAATTTTGAATGATGGAGATACAAGATAAGGACACATGCTTTAGTTAGTTCCTTTTTTAAAAATCTACCACAGGGGCAAAGATTCTGAAGAGCAGTTAAAATGTATGGAGCCAAAGAGAGAGAGAGAAATGAAGGTTTCGTAAGGGAGTGGAATTTTTACGAGACCACTTTTCACCTGTATGCAGAGAAGACATGTTTTCTGTTCTTTTTCCTCAAGGCCTTGACTTAAGATTCATCATGGGATTCTTTCATATGCAACATCGCTGTGAATCCGTAATATTCACACCATAATTCATGTGAATTGTTAGCACGAATACACGGCCTTCAACTGTCGGCTGCTGAGTCACTCTGGGTACGCCTGAACATACGTCCAGAGCAGTGTTAATGTGTGCCCCCTAGGCATCCACTGCAGCAGCAGGAACAACAAAACAAACTTTCCTTCTGACTTGCTTGAACCTGTTACTTTGCCAGCATTTGAATCGATTCACGTTCTCCAGATGTGTTGTTAAGTTATCTCCTTTTCCAAAGCTGTGTTGTCACCTGTCATTGTTTAGTACAGAACATGAAAAAATAATCAATTTTGGTTAAATCCCGATTCTGTCTTGACAGAAACATGACTGAGGATGAAGACAGACGAGGCTGTTGTGAAAGTAATAAAGTCAGTGTGTTTTATGTTTGCTGACAGACAAACTGCTGGGCTGGAAACAGAAATGGCTGCAGGGCTCTGCTAAGACATGGCATTATTGTAATGGAGGGGGGGCTTTAACATGACATGGCAAGCTCTAAGTGTAACACATGCAAACAAAACACTAAATAAGGGCTCATCCGAATTCCTTAGACTATGAAGGCTGTATGGTCTGTAAGTCTCCGAGTCAGGGCGTCAGAAACCTACAGAGATATAATCTCCACAGACACCAAACATTAACCGTTTTCATCTGACTCTGGAATGTCAGCATCGCCACCACCAAAGAAAAGGCCTTTATTTACATGGCTTGGCAGCCACACATCAAAACTTCCCACTGTTTTCAAAAGTGGGTTGAAGCGGAATTCCTGCTATGTCCCACACTCTGCCAAGATCCAGAGATTCCTTGTGAGTTCCAGATCTATTTCAATGTATAAACACTTGTGTATGTGCACCCAGAGGTCATAGTGTGAGCTATGACTGATTTTTTTTTTTTACTTAAATTAAATCAACTTACATTTCACTCTCGCAATTTTCAACCATTTTGCAGTGCTTCATGGTTTGCTCTGTTTTAGGACCCTGGTGGTGAGACTGGTCACTATTTCGTATTCCTGCAAAAATGGAAGAAAAGAAATGTCATATATTCTATCCAAGAATGCATACATACTTCTTGTTATATTTGTTCATCATTCAAGATTGCAAGATCAAATGTCCACATTGCTCTAAGAATGTGTAATAGCAAAACATGATTTAAAAAATCTGTTTAATACATTTTAATTTTAATGTAACTGTAACTCCACAACTGCAGTTTTTTTTTTTTTAATTTTTTGTGTTTTTCATTTTTAAAAGCTTGAAGCCCTCCTCACTGCTGCTGTACTACTGGTACTCTCAGCAGCATTTGTCTTCATTACACCCTGAGCTAGTGTACACCCTGCCTATCTGTGGCTGCGGCCGTCAGACGAGGTGCAGAGATGAGCTGTCAGCGAGTGGTGCGCATTCAAGTGATGATCCTGTATGGAGGCAATCATTAACGTAAAACTGCCAAAAGGCTTGAACACTGTCAGGTCAGCTGTCAGCAGCTGAGGCTTGACTCACTGTGTGTTTAAAGGCTGATGTCACCTTGGTTGGCCTTTAACGCACTATTGATCATATGGATTCTCTTCAGCTCTGCACGGATGAACTTTCACATAAACCACAAACAACAGGGCTGCACGATGAAACACATGATGTTAGTGCTGCACTGGAACAATGACAGAGAGTTCACTGCTGTACGTCACAGTGAAACCCTGCAGTAGCAGCTACACCAACCAACACAGCCCTCCTGAGTCCTATCACTAACAGTCTGTTAAGAGGCTTTGACCCCCCCCCCCCCATCCTCTCCCTGACCGATGACAAAGAGCTGTGTGTTAGGCCGGGCAGCCATCATCCCAGGAGTCAGCTGAGACAGGTGGCTATCCCCACAGGGTATGTACGTGGGGGCAGGGAGGATGAATGCTGAAGTAATCAGAGACAAGTCAAGACAAAAGCACGGTGTTATTTCAGCAGCTTGGCTTTTCAACTGATGAATGTCTGGGTTAAATGTTTGCAGAGGGGAAAAAACACCGGAGAAACCAGGACAAACCATATTAACCTGCATGAACGGAGGGAGGAACACTTCAACGTCAGAGCCTGAAGTGAGGTCAAACTGGCTACTAGTTGAAAGAGACGTGAGGTTTGTTGCTTCTCAGTTCGAAATAAACAGCGATAAAATGTAGAAGAGCATTTTGGACATAGATTAATAGAGATAATTATACAGATAATTATAAAGCCAGCTATGAAGTCAAAGGAAAAATATTAATAATCCTGGAACAAGTTGCAAGAAAAACAACTAGGTCTACAAAAATGAGCAACTCAATTACCACTTTTAATTACCAATTTTTCAGG